CGGGCTGGGGGGGGGAGCGGGCAGTTGCGCGTCGTCCGCCGGCCGTTGCGTTATGGCATACCGCCATTGCGCATGTAAGCTTCTGGGAGGGGTTTTTAAGGAAGAGGCAAAGCTGCTAGCAGGCAGTGGCAGCGTGAGGCGCTGAGGGCTTCCGGAGACGCCTGAGAGAGAAAGCCCGCACCAGGCGTGACTGAAACCGGCCGTGGACCGAGGCGGACGGGAGAGAGCGCTGCAGCCAGGCAGCACAAACGCAGTTTCTTCCACTTCTTCGCAGCCAGGGATACCCTTCCTAAGAGAAATCTCTAATGGCTTTAAAACCTGATAACTACAACTTTAGCCTTCTGTCTCCATAACTACTGGAGACAGTTTTTCAGTGGCAAAAGGGCCTAAGGGCCTCTCTAAGCCTTAAAAGTACCACAGGCTTTTGATGATTAGCAGCGTGAAACCAGTGCAGTCTGCTTCTATTTCCTGGAAGAAATCAGGATTAAGAAGTCAGAATTAGTCTTCTGAACCAAAAGCTATAAAGAGATCTTGGCAGCTGCCAGGATGTTGTTTCCTTAAGAGAAGGAGAGGGGTGGTCAGGAGCACAGCAGGAGTGTACCAGCCCACAGCAGGGTTTCTCTCAAAGCAATGCCACTGACCTTACCTGTTGTCTTCTGCACCAGCACATTTTCATTTGCAGAGACTAAATCCTGCTTGCCAGTTAGAAACACACTGAGTAGATTCAGGAGGACAGCTAAGATTTCTTCAAGACACAGTGTGAGACCCTCAGGATTCAGGGAATTGTTGTAGTAACAAGGTGCATACCACTCTAGTTCGTTTGCTTTGTCTTCTGACGAGGAAGATGAAGCATGCTGTTATTTCTGTGGCACAAGTAGGAAACGGTTTCAAGAATTAGACTGTAAAACAGTCCTGTCCAACTGATAGAGTTCCTATTAGAGCAACACATACCCATTCCAGGTTAGCAGTGATCTGAACGAAGCATGCAATTTCTCATTTTTATTATCACAGGGGCATGAAAGCTAAGTAAAGATGAGAGCAACAGAAATATACTTTAGCTCTCCAAATAGCACAGTCAAAAAAGTTTTAACAGCTTTGATTTAGAGACAGCCACACAGATGTGAATGATTGCGTTTACAGTAAGGTTACATTGTAACAAAGGGAAAGTTTACAGAGCTCATTAAATGAATAATCAAATATTCATGACCACAGTTAGCTGAAACAAGGAATTTTGTTGCGATTGTCCTTGCAGTTTTTCCTCCTCTTTCCATTAATATTTATGCTTTCAGAATTTGGTAGGAAGCTTCATCTTCTTTTCAGTCCATCTAAAATAACAGAATTATTAGAAGTTAGACTTCACAATCTAAAAAGAAACTGAGTTGGCTTAGCTTCTGGTACCAGAGATGGCATCAATACAGTCAATCGAAACGACCTTTTGCAATATATTTTGCTAAAGAGTGTCCAACAGATTTCAAGTGTTCATGTCCAAATAATACACTGGAAGTGTGCTTGAAAGTGTGCACAGCCAAAAGCTATTAAAGAGAAAATAAAAAGAAACAAAAAAGATTGGCAGAATTTCCTTACAAATCGTACTAGGTTATCTGTTCCTTCATATACTGGATTCTCAGGGTTATCATACATATCTCAAATGATTTAATTACAGAATATAGAACTCGAATGGTTTAATTACACTTAAATACCAGTCATTTAGTATCTTAAGGATATATGATGCTATTAAAAAAATGGATATTATTTTTCCCTCACAGCATTTTAACGTATGTTCTTGCCAATTTAGTTAACAGTTTTGTAGGTCTTCTCCACATGCAGCTGTGTAAAAAATTGTTTGATACCCATTTGTTTTCCATTAAGAGATTTTTCAAGTACAGTTACAGGCAAAATGTACCCTATGAAAGGAAGCAGAAGCTTCTAGCTCAAGCGATGCACATATTCTTCTGCCTATTGTGAGCACGTCAGGTGGTCTTTTGCACTTTAAATTTTGATTGAACACCTCTATAAAGCACTTTTTATTCTTAATCTACAGCTGGGGAAACTATGCCAATATCCGTAATACGGCGAGATCAATGCAAGCTGAACCTGCCTGTTAACAGGAGTTTATCAATCACTGTATTTCTTAATGTTTCTGCACTTGGCTGTCTCCATCTGCAGGACAGAGCTCATACTACTTTCTTGCCTCACGAAAACAAATGCAAAATATAAACAGCAGCATTTGTATAGCTGCTTTAGAGGGAATGTTCATGTAAAAAGACATGGTAAAACTATACAGTTTGAGTATTTCCAGGACACAACACTGAAGTTTTAAAGATAGTAAGAACTTTGTTGTTGTTGGGAGTGGGTGGGATGGTGGCGAGTATAATTTACAGCAGCATTTCTGCCTAAATCTGATTGTTAAAAGGGAGGTTTGTAAAGAGGTGGGTGCTGGTCTCTTCTCCCAGGTGATGGGGGATAGAACAAGGGGAAACGGCACCAAGCTGTGCCAAGGGAGGTTCAGGTTAGAGATAAGGAGGAAGTTCTTTACTGAGAGGGTCGTCAGAAGCTGGAACAGGCTGCCCAGGGAGGTGGTGGAGTCACCATCCCTGGATGTGTTTAAAGAGCAGGTAGACGAGGTACTTAAGGATATGGTTTAGGGGGTAGACAGGAGCGGTTGGACATGATGATCTCAGAGGTCTTTTCCAACCGAGCGATTCTGTGATTCTGTGAAGATAAACCATCTAATGTAGTTATATGTGTTTTCTTACCTTGGAGAGTCATTTCCACTGTCAATAGAACAATCAATCCATTTGGTTGTTTTGATTGATTCCACAATCAATTCCACTGTCTCCTGTAACGCTGTGGTTTTCTGTCCCTTCTGAGTGTTTCTGTCTTGGTATCACAGTACACGCATTCTTAAAAAACGGATCCTTTTTTGCCGGAGGATTTCTTCTTTCTTTGGTCTGTGAGCCTAAAGCACAGCACGCCACTACTTCACCTGTCTCATAGCTGGAGTTCTGCAAAGTGTCAGCACCTGAGTCAGCCTCCTTGGTGTGACAGCAATCTGCTACAGCTGAAGCCTTTGCGCATTCAGTAAGGCCAGTTTCTTCTTCCTTTCTGTGACCTATCAGAAGGACCTGACTGCACAAACAATCTTCTCTTGTGGAATCTGGTTTTGGATGTTCTCTTGAGTCATCTATTAATTCTGCAATACTTTCCTTATATCTATGCTCTCCAGAGTCACGTTTATTTACAGTTGTGTTGTACTGGGCAGGATAAGTATTAACCTTACAGATTTTTAGGGACATAGCTGTCCCCAGCTTTTGCACAGCCTTACTCCAGTCTCTTGTATCTGAAAAAGCATGGCCAGGTTCATTGCCTTCAAAACCATCATCCAGATGTAATGGGGTACAGGTGTCACCAAGATGTGCTTTTTGGTACAGAAGATGGCAGTTCTCAGTAAATCCTTCACTTTCCAGCTTCACTGATCCAGGGTGGCTGGCACAGTCATCTTTAAATGTAAGTTCACTCTTTCTAACAGTCTTTTGTCTGTATTTCACACCAAATTTTACCGGGTTGACGTCGGCTGTATAATTTGAAAGATGGACATTTTGAAATACGTTTCCTGTTTGATCTAATAACTCACACACAGTGTCAGTTTTGCACCTGCGATACTCATCTTTCAGACTTAATGAAAATGTTGCATCTTCTTTGCACACCCCACTGTCGCTAGTGTAGGCGTGAGGGGATTTTTGAGTATCCCCAGGATTTATTTTTAGTGTTCTTCTGTAGATGTTTTCTTCAGAAATATTGCTCTCCAGAAAGTATTTGTATTTGTTATCTATTTGCAAGTTGCTGCCGTGTAGATGACTAAAATTTTCACTTAAACTACCTTTCTTTATTTGAAGAGAAGACCTATTAACATGGTGCAGTTCATTTTGCTTAGCTTTGTCAGCCTGCATTTCAGTAGCCACCTGTTCAGTTTCATATTCATAAGTGTTTGAGAAGTCCAGGGACTGTGGCCTTTGTAAAGCCCTTGCTTGATTTCGAGTCCTGGACTTCAGCTGACTGTTAATAGCGCCTTTGTACCCTTTCGCATAAAAGTTGCGTCTCCATGGCAGATCCTGGAAAGGGTTCTTAATTTGCTTTTTATATACGACCTGGGATTCCACTGCTACATCAGATGGCTCCTGGTTTCTGGTAGGCAGTGAAAGGTTCTCTTCCAGCTTCTTCTTTTGCAATGTTAGATCCTGTATGGGACATTTCCTGTCACTTCTGCTAATCTGCTTCTCTTTGCTTGGTTTGTTTTTCCTGGTGTGTTTTGCTGTTTTACTTTGTGTCTTTTGAACACAGTCCTTTGAAGGATGGTTTTGCCTGACTGTTGACACTTCAGCCGAGGTTCCCTTGCTGACACATTTTTTCTGCTCCTCAAACTTTTGCATTAATTTTGTGTGCTTCATCAAATTGTCAACTGTAAGAGTGGGGTTAATGCGCTTGATAATTTCGTGTTCAATGTCACGTGGAATATTATCTAAGTCATCTTCATCCCTGACTGGCCACTCCTTGGGAGGAAACTGGGCTGAAAAAGTGGAGTACTGCTTCTTACATTTTTCATTTTTAAAAGCAGTTCTCCAGAAAAAGCCAAGACCAAACCTCTTGCTTTTCAGTTTCTCTTTCACAGACGTCAGGGATTTGGTGGTGTCCCAGGAATGGTTTTCAGCGGATGTGGACATCCCTCGAGTTTGAATTGAAGCCTTCAATTCATTCTTACCTCCTCCATTATGTTCATGCTTCATTAGCTGCCCATGTCTTTGTTCACAAAGCATATTCTGGACAGGGAAACAATGGCAGGATCTGTAACAGGATACTGTAGGAATGTTTTCTTTCACTAGGTCTGCACAGTGCTCAATGCTTACAAGGAGAGCGATGGAAGGGGATGAAGAGCAATAACTGTCCTCCAGTGGGACCCTTCTCTTCTCTTCTGTGGCACGATCTGTGACAAAGTATGTGCTGGGAGTCACAATGAAGTATCCTTCTCCCGTATGATAGATTTTCCTTTCTTTAATTAGCGCACCAAGCATATTGTATAAGATATCATGGGAGGGAACTGCAATGCCTACAACAGAGATACAGGTATTTCAAATCAGAAATACGTTTTCAAATAAAATAGGAGCTAGCCAAAAAAATAACTTACATATAACAGATCTTGAAGCAACTGAACACAAAATACCCAGTGTATTTAATTCATAAGATTCTTAAATAAGTCTGAAGCTGACCTGGCAACTGCAGCTTGAGTAGGACATACTCAATTTCAGCATGAAAATGTCCAGTATCACCAGATAAAAGACGGGATTTGGGTTTTTTTAATACATCACCTCTCTGCTGAGCTTTTAGAGCCAGCAGTTGTACTTGCATCCAGCTGTGCCCCATGCACACCCTGAGCTCCCTGCACAACAGGGACAGCCTCACTCTGCAGCAGTGTCCACATGTGGAGGGCAGCCCCAGATGCTGGACTTATCACAGACTGCAGTTAATGAGAGCCCTCCTGAGCTGCCCAGCTGAGGGCAGCACAGAAACACGATCCAGTCGAAAGCTCTGGTACGTGCAATCTCATCGGTATCTTACAGATCGGTCAAAACCCTTTTTTATCTCTGCCAAGGCCATTCCTCACTGATGAGGCAAGGTCAACCCCTGAGGAAGAAGGTGAAGGCCAGCTGTGTTTCTTCTTGTCACTGCAGCACTGCTGTGATGGAGCTTAGATGTTCTCGTTTGAATAAGCAAGGATGTTTTCTTTGTATCTCTCAGGATATGATATTCATGAGAGGCCTTCTGCCAGGTACAAGACAAACAATGTGTTGTTCAAAGCATTTCCCTCTTGGCAGGTTATTTAATGGCAGCTTTTATCACTCTCTCTGAAGCTTCTGGTATAATTCTGTCAGATAACAATTGCTACCTGAGTTTGCCTCACTGAGACTGGTCTCAGCTGCTAGTTTCCCTCAGGTGTCACAGTCGCAGTCATTAGTCTAGTGACATCTGATCTACTGCCCCAGGCTTCTGCTGATCTCCTGCCCACAGGAATTAAAACATAGCAAGAGTATACCCTCCTACAAACTTCTGGGAGTGCTACTTCTGGCTGACCTCCAAATGCTACCTTGTCTCAGTTGTCTCAGAGTACATATGGACTACACCACATTCTTGGCAAGGTGCTGGGTCAGTTTATGGGACTGCATTAAAAATTTTCCCAGTAGAGAAAATGCCTACCACATCAAGCTGTAACACTTGCACAGCTATGATATTATGAACTCTCAAAAGAGGAAGCTCAGTATCAAACCAAGCAACCTCCTGCAGAGGGCCATAATGACCCTTTACAAAGTCTCATGGTGCACAAGGGCACACACACACACACACACACACACACACGCACACGCACACGCACACGCACACGCACACACTGCAATATTGCAGATCTAAGGGAAATCAAACATTTTTCAGATTCAAAAGAAAACAGCATTTAAGGGAAATGACTGCTACTCCATCGGGAGAGAAGGAATACAGCTCATTGAGTGTAAGTAAATAATTTGCTTTCAGGAAGAAAGGAGCTGAAATTTGACCAACAAATCTGCATTTGAGGTCAGCTGTATTTTTTGATAGCAAACACCAGATGTAGCAGACCAGATGATGATAAACACTTCTACCCAGTCCCTTTGCCATCAAAGTCAGCTATGTTCCTGTCTCTTAATGGAGGACTCAAAGTTTTTGACATCTGACACACAGTCTAATTTATGCTGTTCCAAATCCGACGCCTAAATATCAATGCTTTCCCACCCCCTAGAAAGGGCATACACTCAACATGCTACTGCACTCAGTTCCCTCTCTTATTCTCAAAGAAGATTTATTAAAGCCTGTAAAAAATCTTACATTCAAAACATAGTGACACTCACAGATTGATGAGGATAGTATGCACGTTCGTGTATTCTACCAGTTGCCTGTTAATTTATATTCTTTCATGTTGCCAGGTTTACTTGTAAATATTCAGTGATCACTTGCTCAATATCAGAAATTCAAGCTTGATGATACAGCCAGTTTTAAAAGGAGGGAGAAATGAACACGTTACCTGGATAATTTTTCACTAGCTGCTCCATTAAAGTTTCTTGCGTGACCATCACGTGATCTGCGTTCATATCTGATACGGTACGGCATATTCTTTCTGACAGAGAAATGATGTGTGACAGCGAGAGAGGATTCATGAGAACAGGGGTCACGTCACCTGACGTCCAGAGGGAGTGGGGGGAAAAAAAAGGATTGTTTGATTGGAATAGTGTTTGATTTTTTTCTATTAGCTGTCATAGTTTCACTGAAAATCTCTTCTGTTGCCACAGGACAAGCACCTTATCCTCAGCTAATTTTCTTTGGCAAGTTACTCGGAAATATTTCTCAAAGAAGGGAAATGGGTCTAGTATTTTTCAAATGCCTTTGTAATAAAGGAAATAGAAGGTTACCTTAAGCACATTAGTTTGGCATTAAATTCCAGCTTAAACCATCATTTAGCTTAATAAATGCGGAGCTGAGAGAGAGAATTATCACAGAATCACAGAATCACAGAACATTAGGGATTGGAAGGGCCCTCAAAAGCTCATCCAGTCCAATCCCCCTGCCGGAGCAGGAACACCCAGATGAGGTCACACAGGAAGGCGTCCAGGCGGGTTTTGAATGTCTGCAGAGAAGGAGACTCCACAACCTCTCTGGGCAGCCTGGGCCAGTGCTCTGTCACCCTCACTGAGAAGAAGTTTCTTCTCAAATTGAAGTGGAACCTCCTGTGTTCCAGCTTGTGTCCATTACCCCTTGTCTTATCATTGTTTGTCACCGAGAAGAGCCTGGCTCCATCCTCGTGACACTCACCCTTTAAATATTTCTAAACATGAATGAGGTCTCCCCTCAGTCTCCTCTTCTGCAAACTAAAGAGCCCCAGCTCCCTCAGCCGCTCCTCATAAGGGAGATGCTCCACTCCCTCCATCATCTTTGTAGCCCTACGCTGGACTCTCTCCAGCAGTTCCCTGTCCTTGAACTGAGGGGCCCAGAACTGGACGCAATATTCCAGATGCGGTCTCACCAGGGCAGAGTAGAATTATGTCTGACAACTGCTGACTTCTTAGATGGCTCTACATATGAAACCATGTAGAATCTGTATTTTTTTAAGTACCTAAGGATGTTGACCTTTATCAAGTACCGAATATTTTCACAGGGTCAGAATGCAGGGGGTGAGAAAGACTAGCAACAGGCTTTGTCCCTTGTCTAGTACACAAATTGGAATAGAAATGTTAAAAATTCCCTTTTTAGACTGCGCTCTACAACTACAGCTTAGCTACTAGACTGGGCAGAGGGCAAAATCTTTTTACAACTGTATGCATTTTTTAGGCTACATCACCATGTTTCCTGATGAAAGATCGTCCCTGTTCTGCACGATGAAAGCAGAAGCTCAGAGCCCAGCTGCCCCAGTAACTTTGCAGCCCCAGCCAAGGGGACTGAAAAGAGTCTTAGTCCTTCACCTCAGCTCTATGGAGAGGGTCCACAGAACACACAGATAAACACTGCCCTCCCCCCTTCTCAAGATGGCATGGCCAGTGAGAGCTAGTCCGGCAAGTACTTCTGACACAGTACCAGTAAATGGTGCAGAAAAACATAAGAGAAATATTTTCCCTGAAAGCTGATGACAAAAGCATGAAGCAGGCACTCACCTGAGGTCTGTGAAAACAATGAGACGACGACTGCGTACACCTTCCCAGACAAAAAAAAAAAGCTTTCTTCTTTTATTTTAATTAGACCGATGGTCTGTTCCCACTGCCTGGTGGTGTTCTGTGCTTCCCTGTCTGTGCTGCACAGAAAGACCCTGGGTATCGTCAGCTGCCAGAGCAGGCAGAAGGCAACAGGGACTCCTGGTTACTTCAAAAGGCAAAATCTAGAATTAAATGCTAACAGTAACCGTTCCACAAGTAAGAAACAACATCTTAGATTAAATGATACTCACATTTAACTAAACTCCAATTGGATAGTCTGTTGGATGACTCTGTAATCTGATATTTATCTTTTGGGCAGAGAACCACAAGACAAACATTTCTCTGAGTAAATGAATTAAGCAACGGTGCTTTTAAGAGCTTCAATTGCTCTTGACCTTTTTTTTTTTTACAACTGCTGCTACGTTCAACAAAAAAGCACTCAGAAAAAAGTCCTGGCATACAGTTTCCTCAGAGATGTTGCTAGGATACTCCTTGCAGGTGCAGAAACCATTGCAAACTTTTTTTTTGTATGGGAAAAGACCATCAGTATTCAGTAATAACTCTTGTGAATAGTTTGCTGTCTCAACTCTCTGCTGTAGGCACACCATGCTGCTGCCAGTTTTACCATTTGTTCCTGCAGAGCACCAAACTGCTAAGGAGTAAAACATCAAGTCTAATCAAACTTAATCATTATCTTTATTATCTTGCTATCATTGTCTGCATCTGTCTCAGACTCAAATCTCATGTCTCCATTCAGGGAAGGCCCTTTCAGAATAATCACAGAATCACAGAATCACTCGGTTGGAAAAGCCCTCTGAGATCATCACGTCCAACCGCTCCTGTCTACCCCCTAAACCATATCCTTAAGTACCTCATCTACCCGCTCTTTAAACACATCCAGGGCTGGTGACTCCACCACCTCCCTGGGCAGCCTGTTCCAGCTTCTGACGACCCTCTCAGTAAAGAACTTGCCTCCTTATCTCTAACCTGAACCTCCCTTGGCACAGCTTGGTGCCGTTTCCCCTTGTTCTATCCCCCATCACCTGGGAGAAGAGACCAGCACCCACCTCTCTACAAGCTCCCTTGAGGCAGTTGTAGGTGGTGATGAGGTCTCCCCTCAGCCTTCTCTTCTCCAGGCTAAACAAGCCCAGTTCCCTCAGCCGCTCCTCCTTAAATAATAATATTTAAGACAAAGCATTAAGCAAAAGCCTGCTTGATACTGAAGGAAAAAAAACCCACAACAAAAACCACTAAAATCATGTTCAAACACAAGTCTATTTTAAATTATTTTCCAGATCAACAGCACCCACTCGTGCTAACAACATGAATATTAGATATCATTCCCTCCTGACTTTGAAATAAAATCTGAAATAGTGATAGCAAAAATTCTATCACTGGCAACATTGCTAAGTAATGTGGGAAAAGGCCCAGGCAGCACCCTACAAGTGTCTACCAATTTCTTATCAAAAACTTTGTTGATTTACTTTCCATAGCAAAATAACTGTTGCAGTTGCACTTGAGACATTCTCCCAGCCCAGGTTTGATGGTAATCCCCCTGATCTTTTAAGCACACAGTTCCCCTTTCACTTACAGAATCATGATTACCAATGCAAATCTGGGCAGCTTGCCAGTACTTGTGTATTATTATCCTTCAGTTTGGTTTGCCTGTCTATTCAAACTCTGCTCATTACCTGGACACCTGAAACCCAATAATACCCTTTTGGAGCACGCATTGGTCACAATGTGGGGAAGTCATCCGTGATACAGGTATCGGATAACAAAACTCAGCGCACAGAAAAGCTTCTGGAGATTCTTGACTAGCACAAAGTGATTTTTTGTTCCATCTCTCTAATGTGAGCTTTACCATTGCTCACCGAGTTGTTTAACAATTGCAGGTTTTTTGCATCTTCTAGCTCTAAGAAAAATTACATACAAAAAAAGTTTTATCTGGGTAAAACCCAAACTAGTTCTAAGAAAGTTAACAGAGAGGCACTGTATTACAATAATGCTCAGTTTACTTCTTAAAAGTTTGAGTAAACCATTTATATAACAATAAAGGATTAACAGTAAATTCATTCCAGGAAAAAAAAAAATCAAATCAAGAATAAACTCCCTTGTATGATTCCACCTACATCTGTTGAAACAGAGAAGACACAGCAGATGTATTGAAAACAAAGTAGGATTCAACAAGAAAGGCAAGAGCCGTCTCCTGCAATCTCAGTTCAAGCCCCCAGATAGGAACAAGTTACACAGCAGACACCAACATGTTCAGTGTGGTACAGGTTTCCTTAAGCCAAGCAGAGCAGGAAAGTTTTTGCCATTGAAATGTGTATCTCTGGTCTTCAGAGGGATCACCCCTTCGACACTTATCAAGGCCACTGACACATCCACTTAAAAACACCAAGAACACCTTGAGAGCAGGTTTCAAGCTCCAAAGGTACTGACCAAGCACATGAGCAAGCATGCAGCTTCAAACAGGCTGTTTAAAAGAAAACAGCAGTTCCACTTGCTTGAAGACCAGCAGGTAAGTCGTCCAGTAGAGATCTGCATTTCACCCCCGTAAATACCTCTGCCTCTGGGGCATT